AAAAAAAAAATTATGAAAAAAAAAATACAATGCAGATGAAGTGAAGGTCTGAAGATCCATGTAGAACTTCCAGAGCATGCTAAAATCAATGAACAGATACATTTGCCCCCGGAGATGATGACAAAATCAGGTTTGATAACACTGGAGATGATGATGATGACATTGATGATATCTAAATTGAACCCAGTATTTTACATTCCATAATTTCTGAGGAGGGTCCTACAATTTGGATTCATCACAGAAGATTAAAACTCCATTTGCATGAGTAAAAAAAAACCAAAGTTACTGACATCGAATCGATTCTGACCATAGAGTTTTTGAGACTGTACAGAGAGTCTCATCTTTCTCCCTTGGAGCAGCTGATGGTGGGTTTGATCAGCCAACTTGGAGGTTAACAGTCCAATGCCTAACCCACAGAGCCATCAAGTTTCCAAAAGGACTTAATAATTCACCACACAACTATCCCTTCAAGTCGCCTTTTATCTAAATAGCAGGCTAACTCATAAAGTACCGAGTACCACACCTTGCGCAGAGCCAGGCAGCGTTTTGCTTGGTTGAACATAGATCACTATGAGTCAGAATGACTCAACAGCACCTAACAACAGCAACCTATGAAGCCAAATGTTATTGTTGCCGTGAAGTGCCTACAAGTCACTTCCAACTCATAGCAACCCTGTATAGGGTTTCTGAGGAGTGGCTGGAGAGTCTGAGCCGCCGACCTTGTGGTTTAAACTGACCTTGCGATCCAGCACATTATCCCACAGAGCCGCACCAGGACTCCATGAAACTAAATGGACATCCACTATTCTAAAGAACAGCCGGAAAGGTCTGCGGAATTAAGATTAGATTATTGGCCACAGAACAACTAGAACAGAAATAATGAGGATGTTGACCAATTGTGGAAACTGTAATCAGTGTCACTGAAAAGTACGTGTAGAAATTATTGAATGTGAACTTATTTTGTTATGTCCATGTTTGCCCAAAACACAAAATTATTTAAAAGCAATAGTAATTGCTCGTGTGATACCTGTTAAAAGAGAGGTAAAAGGAAGCTTTCACCCACAGAATGCAATGGCCCTCAAACAATGAAAGGGAGGACTTACCACCAAATGCATGCAGGCTACAGTGATGGAAGCTTGAAAGCATTAATCTGAGTGAAACAAGTCACAAAGGACGAAGTGTATTTGTGCCTACTAGGGGGTAGGTGAAGGAGCTCTGGTAGCGTAGTGGTTATGAATCGGGCTGCGAACCGGAAGGTCAGCAGTTCGAAACTACCAGCTGTTCCACGGGAGAAAGATGAGGCTTTCTGCTCCATAAAGATTTACAGCCTCAGAAACCCTGTACAGGGTCGCTATGAGTCGGAACTGACTCCACGGCACACAGACACCACCACCAGTGGTAGGTGGGAAGGTGCTCTGGTAGCGTAGTGGTTACAAACCTGGCTTGTAACCTCAGGGTCAGCGGTTCAAAACTACCAGCGGTTCTGCAGGAGAAAGATAAGGCTTTCTGCTCTGTAAAGATTTACAGCCTCGGAAACCCTGTACAGGGTCGCTATGAGTCGGAATCGACTCCACAGCACATAACCATCACCAACAGGGGTAGGTGGGAGGGCTCACTGCTTAAGGAACACTGAGCTGCTTCTGTTAAAAAAAGCGAAACCCACTGCCATCAAGTTGATTCTGACTTAGAACGACCCTATATAAGGTTTCTGAGCAGAAAGCCTCTCCCTCAAAGTGGCTGGTGGATTTGAACTTCCAAACATGCTTACCCTACAGCACCATCCTTCTGATAAGGGTGACAGAAAAATATGGAAGCAATTAGTGGTGCCAGTGGAACAACATGATAAACAATGGCACTGAATTGTACATGGGAAGAACACTGAAATAACAAATGTTTTCTTACATGTATGTTTATCATAACTTTAAAAAATCTAATGAAAATAAATCTTTATTCCTCCAGCGAAGAAAACCCTTTTTCAAAAGTGTCTTTGCAACTGCTTTTAGCATTTCATTTGTGGATTTGATAGCTCATATGCTGTCTCTCAACCTGAGAGAAAACTATTGGTTCATCATAGCCCACATGCAAACATACTAAGTAACTGTATGATGGATGAAGGGAAGGAGGTAGGGAGGAGGGGTAGAGGGAGGGATGAGAGGAGAGATAGATGACTACAGACATTCTAAAATGCTCTTACAATAAAGCCAAAGGATGAAGTAGAAATACAGCATTTTTAGTACACATAAAGCTGAAATTTACCATATTCCTTATTTTTACCTTATATGAAACAAAAATATTTCAAATTACTCTGAAATGCAACTTTAAAATAGAGAATATATAAATTTACCATACTTCAGAAACTGTGTTACGGGAACAAAACTAATTTCCTAAGAGGTCTCCTGATGTCATCATTCAGAGCAGAGTGGTACAATCACAAATGCCTCACTGGTCTGTGACGGTAGGAAAGATGCTCCCTGTTAGGGGAGATGGGGACAGACACCATCACCAAATGCAGACTTATCCATCCCCCTTAAGAGACTCTGCCACTTAGATTCAATGTGTGCACGTTCACTTGGAGGCTGGGAAGGGAAGGAGAGCTCTGGGAAATGAAATCTGTTTTAAAAGTACACACTGATTATTGTCTTCACCTGGGGTAAAACGCAAGAAGGATGAGAATGTACCATTTGGGATTGGAGGGGATGCTGGGAGGAAGGCTCCCATGTTTTGATCTGACACTGTAACTTACTATCCCAGGCCTTATGGTGCCCTGGTAGCGTGGTGGGTTACAGATTGGGCTAACTGCAAGGTCAGTGGTTCGAATCTATCAGTTGCTGCTCATGAGACAGATGAGGCTTTCTGCTTCTGCAAAGATCTGCAACTTTGGAAGGCCTATACAGGGTTGCTATGAGTTGGAACCAATTTGGTGGCATACACCCATCACCACTACTACCACTCCTGTTGCTGTTGCTAACTGCCGTAGGGTCAGCTTCAACCCAGAGTAGCCCTGTATAGGATTTCCAGAGAGCAGCTGGTAATCTTGATCCACTGACCTTGAGGTTCAAGCAGGTTCTGCAGTCTAGTGTATTAACCCACAGCGCCACACCAGGGTAAATGGCACAAAGATCAGCTAGACTCTAGGTTAGCTGTTTTCTAAAGGTTAAATAATCTATTAGTGAGCTGAGATGTCATTTTAATAATGAGAATCTGGATTCTGTTTGAATAACCCCAAGACCCCATTCCCTTACCTATTAAATACAGTAGGGTGCTAGCTGAGACACTCTTTAAAAAAAATTTTTTTTCTAACTTTAGGATTGAGTTGCATGGAGTAAAGAATATTTCTGACTTCTTACATATCCACCAAATCATTTCACAGGATGTGGCAAATTACTTGTGGTCAAAGTACAGTTTGACAAAGATGTGGCTCCCTCTCAGATGATGACTTGCACAGTCTCCAACATAACCAATGCCACCACTGTCAGAAGCCAGACATGAATTAGGTCCAACATTAGCTACCCAAAATGGGGGGGCTACAAAGGCAAGAAGTGACTGGCTCACAAGCATTCAAGAGGGAGCCTAGATCCAGAGGGTGTGGAACAAGGTAGAATCTCCAGTGAGTAGTATCCAATATGTCTAGGTGGGGCTGATGAAATGAAATGCAGATAGGTCTTTTGTGATACAATAGTGAATAATTGTTATCAGGACTGATTGTGAGGGTTAGAAATGTAAAGGTAGATGTTTTGTAGCAAGCAAGGGAGTGATTAACTTTGTAGTCTAGGAGCAGAGGTCCCTGGGACCATCAAGGAAGAAGAGTGGAGAGCGGGATCCTACCCAGAGAAGCAGTGATGCCTGAAATGGAGACAGAGACGATGATGTGAAGATATGGAGCAGCTGGGGA